ATCCTATCACAGTTCCACGCTGGAATTCACTGAGCTCCTGAGAGCGACCCATTCTTTCACAAATGTTTGTAAAAACAGTCTGCATGCCTAGGTGCTTGAATTTATACACCTGTGGCCATGGAAGTGATTGGAACACCTGATTCCAATAATTTGGATGGATGAGCAAATACTTTTGGCAATATAGTGTATATGCTCTCTCTACTTTTTCTCATCATAGTAGCTTCATCTGGTCTGTTTCGGTTTGGCTGTGCTGCTGCCATCAACACCTTTGTCTATAGATGTTGGAGCTTGGCCTGTTTTATAGTGTAGTCCTGTTTCTCTGACTGTGACTAACCATATGTGTTCTCTTTCGTTCTCTGACATGGGAGCTGGCTTGGAGCTTGTCTGCCGGGCTGTGTGTTGCCTGGACAGGGCCGCCTGTGAAGCTGGTTGACAGTCACCTTCTGTATCTCTGCATCTTTCTCTATGTGTGCCTCCGATTGATTGATGGATGGATCAATTAATTGACTTTATTGATCTCACAGTGGTGAAATTTACCGGTTACATCGGCTCAATAGTCAAAAAGAACATGAAGGTGCCAAAAGGAGTGAAACGTGCATGCGTCCACACACAGATAATATATATATATAATAGTAATTGCACATTAGATATTGCACAAGTTATTGCCGTTGTACTGTCACATTGTAGAGTCTAATGGCAGCAGGGATTAATGACCTGCGGTAGCACAACTTATTGTACAGGGTGTCATTGTCCAATCCATTTTATTATTGACGTGGACATCCAGGTATGTGAAACTATCCACAGTTTCTATGTCCTGCTCCTGGATGTTCACAGGAGAGTGAGTTAGGGGTCTGTCTCTTTGAACCCAAGTCGGACTCGGCAGACGGCCGCTCACACTGAGCCTGGTTCTGCTGGAGGTTTCTTCCTGTTTGTCACGGCCCGGCTCACATGGCTGCAACAAAAACAGGAATGTTTTTAGCCCTTCAGAGTCATGACTGAGCGTCACACAGCCCAAGATGTGCTTCCAGCAAGTGCTCCATCCGTCTGGTCCTCTCTCAGCTTGATTCTTGCCGATCGATTCCGGACGTCTGGACCCGACTGAACCCAGGACTCTGTTGTGGTCCTAGCTCTGGCAGGTCCCCTGGATCAACGCTGGTCCTCTCTAGTCGTCTCTAGAGCCACTGGTGCCCTGAGCCTCGGACACACCTGGCACTTCAATGACACCTGCTACCACGGTGACATGCACTGTGGGTGAAGGGCACTGCTTAAATACCATCCAGGTGGCCATGTAATCAAAAGAACCTTACAAAATCAAGGACCTGCATTGATAAACAATTACTGTCCACTTGCCTCACAGCAGGACTGTCATACTGTTAGGGGTGTTTTCCTCTCCACTGTCGCTACAAACATGTTGTAGGATTTGCTTTCGAGTCAATGAGTAGATGCTGGCAGCTGGCAGCTGGTTTTCCTTAGAAAACTTTTAACCAATCTGACTACATGATCTGATTGAATTGTCTCTAAAGTGCCTTAAGATGACATGTGTTGTGAATTGGTGCTATATAAATAAACTGAATAGAATCAATGAGTAGAAATTATTGATGTTAACTGGTTTAACAACAGCACATTTTAATCAGACACATTTAGAATGGGTGCGTTAAATTATAGCATATTCATACTGTAGCTGCAAACAGAAAAAACAAAGTAATATATTTGTCCTTCTAAAGTGGAAAGGAATTAGAAGGAGTTTCATAACTTCTTTCAATTTTGTATATCCATCAAATTTATAATAAATTACATCTCAGATCTTTGGCCTTGCTTCAAATAGGAATACAGAAACCCTTCGTTTTAACTTTAGGGGGTTCTAAGGCTGCTAGTATGGCCTGCTCAGAAACCATTTTAACACCTTCCTTATAAAGAGAAAGAAAAATGAAACAAAGGAGAAAGAAATGTCAGTAATGCATACAAAACTGGATTTCTTGCTGATAAATTACTAAATGTGCAGTGGAATTTTTTCTCCATACCTGTTTGACCATGGAGCACTCTACATATTTGACAGCTCCAACTTCTTGAGCCAGCTTCTTACCATCCTCTGGATAAATGGGTTGTTGTTTGTTCTTCTCCAGATTCTTAACAGTGGTTCTGTCTTCTCGCAGGTCTGTTTGGGTGCCTACTAACAGGAAAGGTGTGTGAGGACAGTGGAGAGAAATCTCAGGAACCCACTGGAAACAAGAAAACAAATAAATGCAAGATGGTGTCAGAGAAGCTTTACTCAGTTTAAGCATTGTCTTCCAGATATCTGAAGATGCTCCTGCTTTAGTTTTTTTCCTTTTGGCTGCTGCTGATTTCTTGCATGTAGATGTGAGGTAGTGTTGCAAATTACCACATCACCTTTATTTATTATGACTTTATTATTATCTATTTTGCTGCAAATTCTCAAGAAAATTATATAAGGATTTTATCTAATAAGATGAACTGACCACTTTGATGTCAAATGTTAACACTGTCTTGAAAATTGTTTTTCAGATAGAAAAACAAATGTGGGCCAAAACAACCCAAGATAAAGCAAAATGAAATTGTTCCAAAAGATTACTGCCATATAGATCCTTATAGATTAGAACAAACCCAGAAATGTACCAAGACTCTGTCACATTTTAACCTATGCCTATGAGTTATATGACTATACTGTAAAGAAATTGAATTCAATTCAGTTTATCTATATAGCGCCAATTCACAACACATATAATCTCAAGGCACTTTACAGAGACATTTCAACCAGATAATACAGTTAACTTGGTTCAAAGTTTTCTATCTAAGGAAAACCAGTTGAATACATCGACTCATTGACTCTAAGGCAATCCCTCACACCAAACATTTCAGCAGGAAGAAACCTCCAGCAGAACCAGGCACAGTGTGAGCGGTGCCGAGTAAGCATCTGCCGAGCCCTACTGGGGTTCAAGGAGACAGAAGCAGACATACAGAACGAAGCAGAGATACAAAGGAACTTGTCAACCAGCTCCACAAGCGGTCCCATACAGCAGCACAGCTGAAATTTCTCCCCAGATACAGCTACTATGAGAAAAAGCAGAGAGAGCATAACGTAAGAGATTGAACTAATAAATTGCGCAGAGTGGGAGAAAAGAGATAGAATGAAGCAGAATGATGAAAAGGGGGTCCCTTTGTCCTCCAGCATCCTAAGCATCTCAATAGTAATAGCAGCATTACGATTGAGATAGCTCAGGATAACCTGAGCAACTCTAACTATAAGCTTTATCAAAAAGGAAAGTTTTAAGCCTACCCTTAAAAGTAGACAGGGTGTCTGCTTCACAGACTTAAACTGGTAGTTGGTTCCCCAGGAGAGGAGCCTGATAACTAAAAGATCTGCCTCCCATTCTATTTTTAGAAATTCTAGGAACCACTAGTAAATGGGCAGATTGAGAGCAAAGAGTTATGTTAGGAACACAAGGAACCATCATGTCTCTGACATAAGATTAAGCTTTGCCATTTAAGCCTTTATATGTCAGAAGGAGGATTTTAAATTCTATTCTGGATTTAACAGGAAACCAATGAAGACAAGGCAGGATAGGAGAGATATGATCTTTTTTTTTTCATCAGAACTCTGGCTGCCGCAAATTATAATTCTCTGATGTGGATTTTCAGTGGAAATATTTGTTTAATCTAATCACATTTTCGTCTAACCAAGACCAACTGTCAGGATTCCTGTCTGCGTGCTTGTGTTTCTGTGTTTGTCTCCCTTCCTCCACCAGGAGGCGCCTGGTTCTAATCCGCCTCCTCACACACCTGCAGATGGTTACCTCGTTAACAGAGTGCTCTTAAGCTGCTGACTGCCACTACCTCGACGCCAGAGTGTTTGCCAGTTTTGCGTACTCTAGCTAAGCTGAGCTTTACTGAGTCAAACTGAGTTCCAGTCAACCTGAGTCTTAATCTTGTTTTTTGTCTTTGCCTCTCGGCAGTAAGTCATCCTGCAAACTGGATGTTTCGGACCTTCTCTCCCTGGAAGGAGTATCTGAGCTTCAAACTGAGCTAAAGATTTAAACTGGAGGTTTGAATCTACTTTTCCCCAAGAGATCGTTTGAGCTTCACACTGAGCAAGGGATTCATCTCCTCTACGACCCGTTCTAGTACCGCAGGAATCTGAGTGGCAGTCAGCTTCTCCGTTCACCTACAAACAACCGCATTCTGGGTAAACCCTGTTCCGCCCGCCACTGAATCAGACAAACACTGGAACAACAGCACACAGACTGGAGTCAAAGAGTCAACAACTTCTCTGGAAACGTGAGTCAGCAACCAAATCCTCCTCTTCAAGTTCACGAATCAAATTTCCCACTGAGCCTGAACTAACCGCTGTGTCTTCCCCTCACTTTTCAGTTCCAGTTGAGCAGTGTTCAGAGCAATTCTTCATTCTGCATTATCTCTTCAATAAACCTGTTAAACCTTTCCCCTGGTCTCTCTAAATTGGTTTCTCTGCATGTGGGTCCGAGCTCTTAATAAAATCATGACACCAACATCAACAAGTCTGTAGGTTCAGTCCAGGCATGGTCTACCCCTAACCCTCTCCTAAGCAGATTTATATGGATGCTACCCACCTGGAGTCCTAGATCATTGTGCCTGTCTGCAAAGAACATCAAACCACCTACCGCAATGATTACTGTCCTGTTGCTCTCATCCCAGTCATCATTAAGTGCTTTTAGAGGTTCATCCAACATCAAGACTCAAACTCCTACTAGTGTGGACAGCCTGCAGTTTCTTTACAGGGAGAACTGTTTTACAGAGAAGGCTATTTGGTTAGCACTGTTCACAGCTATGACTGATCTGCAGGACGCTATTATTGTTCAACATCAATGTTAGTCCTGCAGCTTCACAATCACAATTATCTGCATGCTACTCCCTAACTCCTAGATCAATGACTTCTTAACAGACATACTCCAGCTAGTGAGGATAGGAAAAACTTACATCTGCCTCACTTATCCTCAATGCTCTCACATCACAAGATTTGTTCGCAGTCTTTTCCTGTTGACTCGCTACTGCAATGGTTGTGAACATATCACATATTGTGCCATCTATCAATGATGGGAGTCTACAGAGAAGAAGCTCTCCATCTGTCTTAACTTCTCCTTAACAACCACGTGACCAAGGAGTTCAGAGTAGTCTAAAGGAGATTCTGAACAATGCTCTCTGCATGCATTAGGAGGTGGTGGAGCTTCTTTGAATGCAGACAGAACAGAAGTTATTGTATTTGGAGCAGAGGTCAAGTCTGGACTAATGTAATTTTAACTACAGTCTGAGGAAGTCCTCAGACTGTAGTCAAAAGCCTTTAGCTGATCCAAAATGCTGCAGCCAGAGTAATTTTTCCTCATATCTTAATTGCTATTAAATCCAGAGTCAAATTTGAACCCTGCCTTCTCATGTATAAAGCCCCAAATAACCAAGCTCTGTCTTATGTCAGAGATCTGGTCACTCCTTATGGTCCTAACAGAGCACTTATGCTCTCAATCTGCAGGTTTACTGGTGGTTCCTAGAATTTTTTAAAGTGGAATGGGAGGCAAATCATTTAGTTATCAGGCTCCTCTCTTGTGGAAACAACTACCAGTTTTAGTCCATGAGGCATACACCCTGTCTTCTTTTAATGATAGGCTTAAATCTTTCGTTTTTAATAAAGCTTTTAGTTAAAAACAGACTGATATTTGCTTAGTCCCTGATTGAGTAGATAGGTAGGTGGAGGTAGAGCATTAACACCCTGATCCGGTGGGGGAGAATTTCAGTCCAGACAGAAGTTTCTCCTTGACTCTACCATGGCCCTATTATACCTTATACCTCATCCAAAACAGTCCATTATCCTGAGCTATTTCTATATTGGTGATAAATGTTTGAGCTGCTCACATAGGGACCACTTTTCATAATTCTTCTTCATTCTATCTCTATTCTCCCACTCTGGACTATTTGTTAGTTCAACTTATAACATTACGTTCTCTCTGCTTTTTCTCATCATAGTAGCTTCATCTGGTCTGTTCCTTTTCGGCTCTGACTGCATCCTGGATTAAAATATCAGCTGTGCTGCTTCCATCGAAATTCATATTTATAATGTTGGGAGCTTGGCCTGTTTTTCAATGTAGTCCTACTTCAATGTAGTCCTACTTCTCTTACTGTAACTAAATGTATCTTATCTGTCTCTATCATCCACTGACATGGGCGCTGGCTTGGAGTTAATTTGCCTGTTTGTGTCTTTCCTCGATGGGTTCACCTGTGGAGCTGATTGACAGCTACCTTTGTATCTCTGCCTCTTTTGTATGTCTGTTTCGGTCTCCTTGAACCCCAGCCGGCCTCGGCAGATGGTTGCTCACACTGAGCCTGTGTCTGCTGGAGGTTTCTTCAATATGAGATCAATAAAAGTTCAGTTATTATTCTTCCGGTTAAAAGGACGTTTTCCTCTTCACTTTCACTACAAGCATGCTTGGTGTGAGGGATTTTTGAACAGACATTGACAAAATGCAAGCGAAAATCAACCTCCCAATTCAGTGACTGGATGCTATCAACTGGTTTTCCTTTTAACCAATCTGACTGTATTGCCTCTGTAAAGTGTCTTGGGATGACATACTGTATGTTGTGAATTGACGCTATATAAATAAACAAAATTGAATTGTATTGAATCCTTGAAACTTGTATAGGACAAGATTGTGTTCTAGTCCTTTCCTCTGCATGCATGACTGCAATGATTGTGAAGTTTGTGGACCAATGTGGTGGGCCTTATATCTATCAATGATGCGACCCCCTACAGAGAAGAGGTTCACCATCTGACTTAACTTCTCCTTAACACTTGCAAGGCGGAGGAGTTCAGAGTAGATTACAGAAGATCCAAGAAGACTGAACACTGCTTTCTGCATACATTAACAGGTGCTGGAGCAAATGGACAGTTCTCAGTATTCAAATTTCTTATATACCTCTGCTGGAATGAGAACACCTCCCATCTATTGAAGAAGGTTCAACAATGGCTCTTCTTTCTCAGAAAGCTGAAACAGACTGCTCCCTCTATTTAGCTGCTTAAACTAAGAAACTAACCTAATATGGTGAGGACAGCACAGAGGATTATGGGATGCCTTTTACCATGTAGTAGCTTATTTATGCCGCACAAAACCAGGATAGGGCCAGACCCATTTTGACAGATCCCACAAACCCAGGAAATACATTGTTTGACCCAATGTCATTGGGAAAATGTTATGGGAATAACAAGATAAAACAGACTTAAAGATATGTATTTTACTCTGGATGTTTACATCTTTTACAAGTGTTTGTGTTTTTCCTGAAAGAGTTTTTCTTTTTGTTTTTCTTCTTTAAAAATGCAAATTTTTCTTGTGGCTATTATTGATGAGAAATGGAGAGACAACAGCAGACAGAGAAAGACAGACCTAAAACCATGAAAACAAAAGCTGATACTAAGAAACCTATGGAAAAATCTGCACTTTGGTTGAACAACTCAGATATTTTCATGTTCTGATTTAAGGTCAATAATTAACTTCTGTTGAAATGCAGTTTTTCCAATGGCTAATTATAATGATAAATTTTATAATTACTATGAGAACTGAATAGATCTTATCAGTTAATTACCAGTAATTCATTACTGTATGCAGCGTTAATAGGATATTATCTGTATTATACTCTTGAACATTGATTTCACTGTAACCATTGCCCTTGATAAATGTGTTTATTACCACTGCAAGCAAAGGCACACACATACATGTATGTTTGTTTACAAGACTTATGGTGACATTTCATTTACTTAACTCATTTTATATGGCCTAACCCAGACCCTCACGCTAAGTCTAAAAATCACCAACATTTACCTGATCCTAACAAAAACCTAATTCACAAAAAACCCATTTCCGACACACAAACTTTCCTTTCAACTGAACTCCATTAATTTCTACCTTGTGGGTTCAAGGCATCAGGCCTTACAAGGAGCAGGCAGTCCTCACAATGTGCTTTATTTTCCAGAAAATGGGCCCCACATTGTATGAAATACAGGAACACACACACACATAAAATATAAATCGGTTTAGGCTTCTACACACATTTTTGACCTGCAAAAAAAAAATGCATTTGTGAACAGTGTTACTCAAATTTCAGTGTGAAAATAACTGACCTTTGTTTGAACTGTTTCAAAAGATGTTGGTACGACGACGGAGAAACATACAAGAAACACGTCTGTTTTTGTGTAGATTAGGGGAAGCAGTTGATCACAATTTTCCTGACCTGAAAGCATTAGCAAAAAGACAAATAAAAGTTGATTTTACAGAGAGAGCAATAAAACTGTGACAGAAAAGAAACTATTCAAGACAGTTACTGTACCTGTTGTGTCATATAGCTGAAGAAAGAAGGATTGTTCTCCAATCATAACTATAACTGTCTGGTTGTCAAACACCTTTGAGCACAAAGAAAGCAAGCAACATTAAAACAACTGAGAGCAGTAGCTAAATGACTGCTAATTTTATTAAATAGTTTAATCAAAGCTGGCATAGTTAAGTTTCCTTACTTTTGGCACATATTCTGAGGGATAGCGGTTTGTTGTGTATGTGACCAATAAGGATGTTTTTTGAGCTGCAATGTCTCCTAGCACTACACATTTAATTGACTGCATCTATGACAAAGAAAAAATAGAATACAGATTAAAATGACAGATACACACGTAAAAATTTCTATATTCTGACCATTGGTTTTTTAAACATGTTCATGCTGTAGTAAATTTGAAAAAATTCTCTTTTAATTCTACAGAATCCGCTGGACTGTTCAAATGCAATCATGATCAGATGTTGAAAGCATTTTTTCAAAGTTCAAATGCAAGTTGAATTAATTCTCTTTGAGGTAATGATCAAGCTTAATATCTATTACCAGATGTTGCAGTAGATCTACCTTTAGTCATTGGAATCAATATCTGGGAATAGTTTTATTCTGAAAAGGAAAACAAAAGTTAAAACAAATAGAATTGCACAATAGTTTATTTCTTACATTCATATAATGTAAAGTCGTATATTTGCAGAAAAGTATCATAAATAACAGAAAAACGTAACTTTAACATGTTTTATTTGTCAATAGATTTACTAAACTAAATGGAAAGTACAAAAATATGCAGTTTATGTTGGGATCTGGAGATCTGCAACCTTTCTCCAGCAGAGAGCGCCCTGGGTCTCCTGAGCCGAAGCCACCTGCACACCTGAGGCTGATTCATCTCATCAGGAGACCAGCTATATAAGCAGCGGCTTGACTTCCCTTCAGCGCCGGAGTGTTGACCAGTTTTGGTTAGCAGAAGCTGAGCCTCAGCCTGCACATAGAATCTCTGTCTACTCTGGAGAGTAACCCTGATTCTAACCTGCCTGTCTTCTCTGCCTCATAGGAAAACCTGATCGAAGTCTGGAGCTCTGGAGGAGCTCATGTTTGGAAACCTGCCTGCCTGCTCTGAGAAGCCAAACCTGAAGAACCTCAGCCTGCATCTCCTTGCCAGTTCTCTGGAGAGAACTAGGAGAACAATTCAAGGTCTGAACCTCACTAGCCTGAAGCCAAGCTCTGCCGCTACTAAGCTCTCTGCTGAACCCTCTGTCTCTGGACCCAACTGGTTTCCTCTCTCCACCGTTCAGTCTGAACCTCATCAGGTACAACTCAGTTTCAAACTCTGCCAAGACGTCAAGACTGTCTAGCTAACCAAACTGTCCTTCTCTACAGAGAACTCTGTGAATCCAGTCCCGGACCTGTACCAGAATCAGTGCAAACTAATAACTCTGTGTGTTTATTCAAATAAACTGTTGAACTTTTATCCAGTCTCCTGTGGTGTTCTGCATGTGGGTTAAGTCAGTAAGACCCATCATGACAGTTTATAGTGATGATGACAACACTGAACCAAACAGAGGGACACCACAACCACCCCTGAGCAGCCTAGACAAAATAACTACAAAGTAATTACACAAATGGTTCATTTTTTAGAAATGAAGAAATTAGAATATGATTAAATAAAACTTTTATTTATCTGACACAAAGGGTCACATAACCTTTTCTTTAAAGGGATCTACAGTAAATTACCTTACTCAAAAATAAAAGATGTCCAAGAGAGATGAAGATAATGTTAGAAAAATATTCCAAAATATAGCTAGAATATAAATACTGATTTAAAAAGTCAAAAAGTCTGCTTGAGTCAAAACTTCATCCTCAGCTGAGTGAGAGAAGACTGAGAGACCATAAAGGAAGCTGCAGTGAAAAATTCTAAGCCGGTTCCAAGAAAGTCAATGGGTGAGAGGCGGGGTGCACCATGGACAGGTCAGGGAGATCATTTGATTAGAGAATATGTTTCAGGTAATGAAAACCTAAAATTTTATTGTCCATCTCTTTGGAAAAATCTCCTCCAAGTAGATCAATTTCATATCAGTTTTCTTTTTATCTTTATCATTCATGAATCATTAATTAGATGTAATAACTAATAGTTTAATATTTGGAACAATTTAATAACTTATTTTAATTATGAAAAGATGAAATGTGCATGACGTTGTTTCATGTATCCGAAACCCTTTATTTATGTAATTTTTAATGAGTATATATTACATTTAAAAAAGAAATCTAAAATCATAATACATAAGAATAATTCAAAGCACCCTGTTAATTTGAAAGTCTCATGTTCTGATAATTTAATTGTCAATACAATCATAGAGAAGACAGGTAGTCACTGCGATCTTCCATTAGGACGGTATACAATAAAAAGTCTTTCAAAATAAGTTGACAATTGACAGATTACTGCATCAAAACTTGATTGGGAAAGTTGCGAGGATGGAAAAACTGTAGTAGAAAAAGTTGTGTCAGTAATAGTAACAACAGCTTTGAGAGAACTGTGAAGCAAAGGTAATTCCAGAGTTTTGGGGACAAGAATGTGAGCTGCAGCTGGATTTAGTGTTAGCAAAAACCACCAAACACAGACATATCCTACAAGTGTTGCATAAATATGCACTGATCTGTTCCCCCTATTGAAGAGAATAACATGTTATGGCTCAATCATGCTTATGGAAGAATCCAACATTTCACACAGCAGACAATGACATGAATCCTAAAGTTTGCAAAGACTGCATCATTTGGAAGGAGATTAATACATGATGACATCAACATAATTGAGCATTTTATTGATTGATTGATTGATTGATTAATCAATTGACTTTATTGATCTCAATGGAGAAATTTACTCATTACATCAGCTCAAATAGTCAAAAAGAAGAAGAAGGTACCAAAGGAATAAAAGGTGCAGGGGGGCATATACAGTGTGTCCACATATATAAAATAAATAGCGAATTTGTGGTTTTTATTTTTATGGTAAAAGTTATACAGGAGAAAGTATAATCAATGTGAATGGTGAATATTTCGGCAAGAAACCAACTGTTTGATCTGAGCTTGTCTGAATGTTTAGTAACAACATTTTCAAATACACAATTTTAAAAAAACAATAACAAATTATTGTTTTATTTTACAGCTACCAATCTTATCATGCAGACGGACTGTGTGTGCTATCTTACAAATAAATCCATTATAGATATCTGTATAATTTAAGTGAAAAAGGTTATTGGCCAAATTGTTGTGGGATGATAGGTGATACAATTCTGTCTCAAAAAGATTTTTAAACTCTACTCACCCTGTATTTCCTTGCCAGATTAAATACAAGCTCCATTCCAGTTTAAAAAATTGAACTTTGGGCTCTAATTTATGGACTTTATGTTACTTGTTGCGCAACCGCACATCATAAATGGAACAAACGCTCCACCTCTTATATCCAGCAGAGGGAGATATTTTTTATTTTTTTCCAATAGTACCATTGTGACAGTGATTATGTTTAATGGGCGCAATATTATTCATTCAAAACTAATAAAGTTCCTCTCAATAATTGATTTGTTATTCTTGTCTTTGGAATATTTACAATAAATCACAAAAAATGCAAGGATAGTGCATAGAAGCTCCAATCCAATTCATTTTTACTGTATTTGTTAGGCACTTAAAAACAAACACAGCTGACCAAAGTGCTGTACAGAAAAAAAATAATTAATTAACAAAGCAAAACATAAAAAAGTACAGATAAAAAAAAAAACAGCTAAAACATGAGTAAAAAATAATGACATTCACACAATCAAATCAATAAAATTGGGTAAAAGATAACGGGAATGAAAGGTAAAAAAGATAAAAAAGGAAATAAAGTCCCCTGTCCTGCTAGGTGTAAAAAGCCAAGGAGAAAAGATTTGTTTTGATAAGAGATTTAAAAACAGTCAGAGAAGAGGCCTGTCTGATGTGCTGAGGCAGGTCATTCCAGAACTTGAAGCTGCAACAGCTAAAGCGCAGTCCCCTGTGAGCTTCTGTTCAGTTTTAGGCTCTCTCAGGAGCAGCTGACCTGAGAGAAGGCGTGCTCCAGCATTTTGAGCCATCTGTAGGAGGCACTAACCCCCATAGAAGCCATTGCAATAATCCAGCTGAGTGGTAACAAAGGCGTTGATTACCATTTCAATGTTGGCTTGAAAGAATTTGCTTTATTTTGGCCAATCCAAAGCCTACTCATTTAATATAAAATAATAGAAATTCATTAAGCTTGAAACATTATTTGGTTAAAGGTTTTGGGCAAAGTTTAACATTATGGGTGTGCATGGATGGATGGATGGATGGATGGATGCATGCATGCATGCATATTGTCCTCATGCAAGAGGACTAATTTTAACATAAATGTGTTTATTCGGTGCATTTATGGTTAAAACAATTCAGTTCTTCATTCAGTTAAGCTACTCATGAGCAGTCTGATATTTTACTCAACTAAGAGTAGCAATATTAATACTATATTTATCAAGTAATATTTTTCACACTCCCTAAAGCTAACTTTTTCAAAAGTTACCTAATGTAACTAGCTACTACCCACCTCTATTATGATAAATTAGCCATTATGTCAAAGCAATACTTCGGTTATACCAGCTATATCTTATTATAAAAGCAATAACTATATGTAAAGTTAAAATAATGAATTTCCATAAAATACATATGTGTGTATTTGCATTCTAGTACTGCATCCCTTACAAGTATGCTTATAATAGTAATGTTTGTTTCCCTTTAAAAACAAATGTCCAATTCTTCTATTAGCTCTGCCAGTGAAAACATTTTTTGTCTTACAGGGATGTTGGTAGCCATTCTCTCTCCTTGTCATCTGAATCCATGTGCATAACCCTTTTTCTCCTTCCCACTTCCCCAAGTCACATTTGTGGTGAAAAGCAAGCATGCTATTTGGACAAATTTGTCCGTGTCCACATAGGCTTTAGATCCTTTTTTAATTTCTGCTTCTCTATGTTACCATTGCATTTTTGTAACTAATTATCAATTTTGCCATGGCATAAAAAGATGACCTCTCCAAATTTGATTACTTCTGAGATGAGCCAGATGAAAAAAAACAAACATTTGACTTAACAGGCTTTGACGAGTCATACTTTTCATCTTAAGCAGAAGAAAATGTTGTTTATTCCTTAATTTGGGTTAGAGCATCTGTCAGTCAGAATAGAAAGTCTTGGTGGTTGGTGTAATGGTTGGCTTATTGATGTTTTAATCTTTCTGAAATGCTGCTGCATTAATCCCCTGCCAGAGCCTACAAATAAAGCATGCTAAAGTTTATATAGGAGTGTTGACAATGGATTTTTGAGTCACATTTGTAAGGGTGCAATTTTCAGTGGTGTAAAATACATGCATGGGTGTAGTTCTTAAGTGTACTTCGAGGTCTTAGAAGTTTTGCTGTAGCCAAATCTTTTAAAACAACATCCTTGGGACTATTCTAGGCCCTAAAAATGAATGACCTAATTGATAAAACTGTTGTAAGGGCAGGCAATTGCTGTTAACCAGAGATACAGGTGTAGCTTGGTAGTCCCTGGCTGCTAGATTATCTGACTGACTTGTTGAAAAAGAGTGTGGCTTTGGGCAGGAGAAATATAGCACAGGTCATTGGAACAAAGGATAATACTCGGTTTGTTCTGCGAACCCAAGTTGGCTTCAGAGTCAGACCCCAAGTAGAAGTGAGGAGTGGCAGAGGTTAGATTGTTCGCAATATATCAGTGTGTTGTGAAATTATAATTTATTAAGTGCCCACCCAAGTAGAAGAAAATGCTATTTAATCAAATAATATTTGGACAGTCATATAGTTTGTGAACACAAGCCCAACTGGCTGTGTGTTAGCACAACAAATTAAAGTGTGAATTAAGCTGAGATCTTGTTCAAACAAATAATTCTGCACATAATTGCCCACTTAATTCACATCATGAATAAACTCTATTGATCTGACACTGAAGAAACTTACCTCTTTAACCCATTCCCTTGGGACAGATTCTCTGCAAATGTGGGTCTGTCTGATCAGCGCCCCCAGAACAGAGACGGTAGGAGTCTGTCTGTGGAAATCCACAAAT